TCTAGTAATCTTAACTGTTGAACGAGAAAGGAAATGTACTGTATATTGATAGTATTAAGACGATTTGATAGGCTAGACTTCGTACACTGCTTTTCACTATCAATTGGTTAGAGCAAACCTTTCACAAGGAAGAATAAAAAGCCATCAATGACTTGATTCTGGTAATCTTGATTGTTGAACGAGAGGGTGAAATGCAGTTTGTAGTAGGATACAGATTGAATATTATATGAATACTACCGATACAATATAATAGGCAACGCCTCATATACTATACCAGTTTTCACTGTCAATTGGTAAGAGCAAACCTTGAAATAGAAGAAGGAAAAAGCCATCATTAAGAACTTGATTGCAATACTGACTGTTAAAGCGGAAAGGAATAGGATTAGTGGGAGAATATAGATTGAATATTCATACTATCGATAGGATTCAACAGACTATTATTCGTATACTAGTCTGCACGGTCGATTAGTAAGAGCAAGCATTTCAATAGAAGAATGAAAAGTCCATCATGTGGTTATTAATCGCACTTGCAAAGGAACACATTCATGTTCATGAGGGGCAATCCTATCGAGGGTACTTTTGTTTGAATCAAATCATGCTCTTGATAAACCGTGATCAAATAATGTTAGCGATTGCTCAGTTTTTATCGCCTGATCACTATAAGCAAAATAGGCATCGTAAGGGACCTCTCCATGTAAAATGATTTCTCAAAAATAAAAAAAAATTGATCTATAAAAAATCTTTCATATTTAAGGAATCATTTTTTATCGACCAAGTCCCTGGCATTGTACAATCATTTATAGCCTTCCTATAATTTAGCACTTGGATATCAAAGCCATGGACTACGAGATACACCCAGATCGTATATCTAGTAGTCCATGCCAAAGCAATTCTCCTCAATCATAGTAAGGCCTGTAAGGATAGAAAGGACCGTTCCAATACGGTATATCTTCATCATAAGTCAATAGAAATGATATTAGGTGCAGTGTGTACGGAATAGATGTTTATATTGTCAATATTAATTACGTAAGAGTATAATGAATCATTATATCAGAAATATAAATGAATAATACCACCATATGGTATCGATAGCGGATTTTATATGTCTAAAAAGTCAACTCATATATACGCGTAGTATAGTCAATAGGCTGTTCTTTCAGTTATAATCTTGTAAGAGTTCAGATAGGCGTAGAATTTTATAATATTAAACTCAAGTTTTTCTACCTTTTACATCTTGATTACGGTAGCCCTAAACTCGTAATTATTAACACGATAATATGTTAGATGCATGCACGAAACTAGAAAACATCTTTACCTAGCTATAGTACCGTGTTGGAATAGGTGTAATTATTATTACAGGGATTTGCTACTGCTTTCGAAACTATCAAGAGTAGTAGAGTAGGAGCTATCAAAATCACAATATGCAGAATTAACGGACAAATTCTTTTCAATTTAAAATGTACAAATTGTCGATCGAGCCATAAATAGCGCAATTACACTTAATGTTAAACCGATCAAAGCTTATAAAGAAACAGAATTAATTGCCATCTAAATACAATAAAATCTATCCGTCCAAGATGAATCTTCTAATGCTTTTTAGTTATGTCATCGTCAATTGGATGCTTACGGTTACAACAGCAAGAACGCAAGGTAAAATGATAACCAAATTGATTATTAATAATAATGTCTCATTTATCCGTCAATGATTATTTCAATCCTTATCCATGGATAATTAAACAGAATTAAAAGTAATAATAATTAATATAATTATAGTTTTGTGTTATAACATCTTTAATAAGATCAAGTAACGTACTGTAATGAGGTAATGCAAAATACAAAATTTTATCTTTTGATTTTGATATTTTTCATATTTTCCAATTTGCTCCAACGACGATTGGGTATATTCACAGATGTAATAATTACGCCGCCAAGATATGTAAATGTGTTTTATGAAGAACAATCACCATTAGCTATTAGTCCTAATATCGAGCTGACATCATCATCGTCTCAGTCAGCTAATACTTCTGATAATCAAGTACAAATATCGAATGCCACAATAACATTACAATCTACATTAAAGAATATAACTCAAAATGACTGTTATTGCAATTCCAATATTTATGGCACATGCGGTGTTGACAGTGCAACCATTACCGATATCCTCGATAATTCAACTATAGAAGGAAGTATTCAAAAAGAATCTGGTTATTACTCATTTAATGGCAAGGGTAGACTAAAATATCAGCAAAGTTTACGCCTTTATAATCTACCTAATAACTTGATCGTCTCCATTTGCTTTCGAATTCAATCTAATACCCGTGCATGGTTAATAACTACTGTTGCATCAGATGACAACCTTCTCGTGTACGGATTATATCTGTACGCTGATCTCAATCGTATTCTATTTCGCTATCGATCATCACAAAATAGCTATTATTCATTCACTTTTAATAATGTCTTACTTGCACATGACGACTGGCATAATCTGGTCTTAGATATTAGCTATCCAACAGTAACATTAAATGTACACGGTGAGACAACCTATACGAAATCTTACACTCTAACCCAATATATGATTAATAAGGAGAGTATAATTTATAGTGGCTGTCAATCGGGTAGCAATTTTGATCAATGTCTTTATGGAGATATAGCCAAAGTCATGATGCGAACAGGCGTATTAGATCTAGCTAAAGTTTCTTTTCCATTGGATATTAATTCTAATAAACGACCAGATGCTCAAGGTATTATCAACTTTGATGGCACTGCATCTAGCGCTATGCTAGTCGATCGCCAAGTAACTCCATATCGATTTACAAATTATATGACCCTATCCCTTAAAATCAAACAGGAATTGGGTAATGATGGCGCAATCATCTCTCGCAATTCCGCTCCAGGTGATCAAATAGATTACACACTTTTATCTCTAGGAAGTCAGGATATCATTGAATTCTGGTACCGAAGTACGCAAGGTTTCAATTTTAATCAGAAATCAATACTAAAGTACAATTTAACTGAGAAAAACTATGCAATCGACGACGGAAAATGGCATAATTTGACGTTACATATTCAATATCCTAATTCAACATTATATATCGACACTATCGTTATTCAACAGCAAATGCAACTTCCAGTCTTAACTAATAGTCAAAACGAAAACTACAACTTACTTTTTGGACAGTATTCGAGTGAAGTAAGTAATTTCTATCCATTCAAAGGATCACTAAGTCAAATTATAATTCGTCCTGAATATATCACATTAAATCAGATATTATGCTTACAAGCCGGATGTCTTGGATGTAAATGTGCTGGTCAGTGCACATTCAAATGCCAGCATCAATTTATTTGTAAAGCAAATATATATCGATATCGATCTTGTGGTATATTAAAACAAGGGCTGGATATTGGTCAAGCTATACAGCAAACAGCTGAAAATTTACAACAAGATGTAGATAATAGTATTATTTTCAATGGTACCGAGGCATATATCGTCTCAAATGCTAGCCAACCTTTGATTCTAGATAATCAATTAACCATTAGCACATGGCTATGGCAACCGATGATTAATAATACAAATCATCGATATATTTTAACAAAGTCTACAAATGATCAAATAATTTTTGGCCTAAGCCTCGTAAGCAATGATACTGTAATTTTATCTTTTCGTCAGCAGAATGTATCATTCAGCCTTCAGCAAAGAATAGATAACGAACGTTGGCATCAACTAACTATATCAATCTCTGAAGGCTCTGCAACATTATATATTGATCATGATCTTATAGGTAAAGTGCTATAGTATCTATATGAGTTAAAAAAATACTAATCGTGTGGATCTTATACCAATTAGAAGGATAGTGTATATTATCCCCTTCATCTTTATTAAGAATTATTAATAGGACAGAATTTATATAAGTACATATATTGAATGATTACCCAGTATAAGCAAGTTGACAATGTCTCTATCATGTAGCTTGATCATTTTTCTTAGGTATCTTCATAATACAATAGTCTATCATCTATTAGTACCTCAAAATAATTCATTTTGACTTGGAATATTAGAAAATGATAGCTGGTAATTTGTTGATGTTGAATATTAATATTCGTTTTTTACCTTTCAATTCATCCAAATTACAGATAGTCAGTCTATACTTGACAATATTACTGATGATGGTAATGGTGTACTCGTTGCTGGAGCTTTATGGAATAGTCCCAATGCAATGGTAGGGTATTATACCGGACGTCTGAAAGCTTTAGCATTCGGCAATAAAGCGTCAACAGGTGTTGCAATCCAATGTTTAAAGACGTGCGGACAACAATTACTTGTAATTGATCCACCAATAAATACGAACAACACAATTATGGCATCCTATGATCAACAAATGGCTAAACTAACTTTACAAGGAGATAATATACTGCAAAATTATGCAGATATCATACGTAGAATCTATTATTCTAATAGTTACGAGTCACCAAATCCAATTTCCGCCATGACAGCAGAAATTTTACTGTATCCAGATGAATTAACGCAATTCAATTTGACAAGTTCAACTACATTTACTATCAAACCAGTTAATAATCTAGCACCAATTATAGATTTATCTGGGCCTGATATTAATTCTTATGATTATACCACAAATTTTATCGAAACACAACCACCAGTACCTGTTGCATCGTCAGTTGCACGCATATTTACAAGGAATCGATTATTTACAACGATGACCACTTTGATAGTGCAACTTATTAACTTTCCAGACGGCAATCATGATCAATTGCTATTTCAATCACGTCCTAATATTTCTATTGCAGCAAGTGATTTAACGGTTGATATTAGTAACGATTTTCATAATATTAATATCAGTGGACCTTCTACTTTGATCGATTATCAAAATCATCTCCTCCAAATTTATTATAACAACACTAGAGATGAACCAACATGTCGATCACGTCAAATTGATTTCTACGCTACGATTAACGATCAGCGCAGCTATATCACTTCTGCAAAGGTCTATGTTTACGGCTATAATGATAATAAACCGGTCTTTAACCAAACAAATTACTTAGCCTCCATGGTAGAAAATTCACCACCAGGTATATTTGTTGTACAAGTCGGAGCAACAGATATTGATGCTTGTCGCGGCAATACTATCAGTTATGCAATTGTTCAAGGCAATGAAAAAGGCAAATTCACTATTGATGCTGTTACGGGTTTAGTGACAACAACCCAATCATTTGACTATGAACAACAGTCATCCTATAATTTAAATATTTCAGCTATAAATTACGATGAGCAAAAGGTATTGCAAGGCTTTACTACTCTATCCATTTCGATCTTAAATATAAACGATAACGGATTTGTGATCAGATTAAATGGGATTCAAGATCCAAGCAATTCTCCATTTAATATTACAGGTAAAGAATAGTTTTTCTCTATTTGATTGATATGACTTTATGCTGACATTAATAAGATAATACTAAACTACTGTAAGCCATAATAGCATAAGATCAGGAGTCATATGCTGGTAGCCAGAGAAGCCTTCCTATGCCTATTTTGTTACATTTCATTTTGTATCTTAGTCTTTTGATGCTATCAAATAGATTTGTAGTTGAAATTCTTAGAATGTACTATCGCTATAATAAGTTTAGTGACGACAAAGTAACAACTAGAATATGCCATTTATGCATAGATTATTTATTTTACCATTTTCATAATGTTTACTCACGAGAGAAAAATTAAAAGATTTCTACTATAATTTTTAAAATGCTCTCTTTCCAGGATATAATGCTTCTTTGGACTATCTTGTCATATTCAATGATTCTAAACCTGCACAAGGTGTAGCTGTTGTTGGATCACAATTGGAAATCACTGATGGAGATAGCATTAATCCGTATATTACTTCGATGGATATCATTCTAACTAACATTGATAATTTCGATAATGAATTTCTATTTCTCAATTTATCCTTACTGGAACAATTTGGAATTCAAATCCAGCTCATTAATAATCGGTTAGATCGCCAAAAGTCTATCTTACTAAGAGGCAATGCAAGTCATGTAGCTTATCCTCAAATCTTAAGAACTGTAATGTAAGTTATCCTTATATTTTTATAATCGGCTTGTACTATAATTAAAGCAACACATGGTAATCTTTTCTAAAAAATATTACCTGACTACTACAAGCAGAACTCATAATATTTATTTGATCTATACAAGCATATTTCATATTGAGGAATTTAGATTCCACCTTAAAGTCATCATAACAGATTATATTGACTATTTTTAACCGTTAATTTCTTGTCATAGAACTATTTATTTTATAGTTTAATTTCAGATTGACACTAAATGTATTTATTAATATCGATCCAGGTATTATTCCAATGCCACACAACTCAGTGGAGATGACAGAACGATTGAGTTTTTCGCTAGCGATGGTCAATTTCAGTCTCCGATTTCGCAAACTTATATCAGAATCATCCATAATGATAAATTTCGCCCTCAGATGATTCTGACCCAAAATAATTTCGTATTTACTGAAAATTCCAAACCTCTTGCTATTGCTTCAACCTTACGTATAACCGATAGAGATTATCCTTATTATAACTTGACTTCTGCATCTGCGTTTCTTGTCAATCCAGCGGCATCTTGTCTGACCAATTCTATGCTACAACTTTCCTGTCGCAATTCTACGAATATCAAGAGGTATTATTTCATATTGAATTTCTCGAGCTTATTTGTAGACATTAATATACATTACAGAATACGGAAAAATCTAATTTAAATAATAATTAATTATTTGCTCTATGTCTGCTCTTCTATAGCTGCAACGAAAGCTGTGGTCAGTATCTACAAGTTGATTCCCAAATAGCTTCTGAACTAAGCTTAAATTATAGTTATGTTGATAATATGCTCTCTCTATCTGGTAATAAATCACCGTTAACCTATGAAGCTATTTTGAGAACATTAACTTATACTAGTATCGCTATTGAACCTAGCGGTATTGACCGCCAAGTGCAGATTATTGTTCGAGATGAAGCTTTTACTAGCCTTCCAATATCGATTAATATTAAGATACGCTTAATTAACGACAATTCTCCCGTAGTGCGGTTAAACGGATTTCAAAGTCAGTCTAGTGTGAATATATCGGGTAGGATTTAAATCGACTTATAAGATTGCATAGCATTAATTTAGCATTAATCACTTACTAATCAATGCTGTAATTTTCATGGACTATTCTACTTTAGGCTTTCGATCTGATCGAGATTACTTGACTTATTACCATGATGTCTATAATGGAACTGCCATTGTTAACCCTAGTATAATTGGCCTTATCGGTACCAATGCTACAATTTCTGATTTAGATAGCCAATATCAAGTACGAAATTATATTGTTAATACTACCATCAAATTAATGGAAATTGAAAATATCGGGAAAGAGCGTTTAATCACAAGTAACAGTATTCCAAGCGGTTTTACTTTGAGTTATCCGCCAAATACCAATTATAACCAATTTCATATTAGTGTCAATGGTAATGGTAGCCACAGCGAATATTTGCAAATTTTTCAACTTTTCCGGTAAGTTATTTCGTTACGAGAGAAGTAGAGTATATTAATGATTCTATAGCATACACGGGATCATAGTTCCACATGAGTAGATTGATTAAAATGCGCATCGGTAGCTGTCGATCAATAATTTATAAATTTATTTGCTAAGTCGATACCACAAATATTGCACCAAGTGGATATCTAACGTAAGCCTAGATAAAAGTAATATCATTTTATTATAACAGAGATTTTATTATCGCATTTACAAGAGTGTTATTTGATAATTTTATAGTATTAATAGGCATTTATAAGTGATATTTACACTTGTGATTCAAATTGAAAATAACATAGCTTTCAAGTTTATGAGTTATTAAACTCTAAAGTATGCAACGTACTTAAAATCTTGATTAGATTAATATTGTTTTCCTACTTAAGCGTAGAAGCGCCATTAATGTCTCTGCTGTTAATGCTTGTATATATAATAGGTATCAAGCAATAGCTGCTAATCCTCTTGCAGGGTTTCAACGAACTATTTCATTTACTGTTAATGATGGTCGGCAGGAATCCTTACCTTCATTTACGTATATCCGACTAATTCATTACGATAAACTAAGGCCTACCATAACGTTGACTAAAGCTCGATGGACGTATACACAGAATGACCAACCTTTACCTATTGCAGAAGGTATTATTATCGCTGATCTTGACCAGCCCGAATTTCTACTGGAGGAAGCTGTTGTTGAATTGGTTCATCCTCTATCACATTGTAGCCATCCTCTCGCTATTGAATATGGTTGCCGGAAGCAATTTGATAATCAAATTGGACGACATTGCGATGGCTTAAGCGTTAACGCTCAAATTGGATTATGCATTCTTAGTTGTGGTCAGTATTTATCTATAAATTCAACTCACGTAAAAAATTTACCTTCGTCTTCATCTTCTATAAAAATTATCAACGAAACACCAACTCGACTACTTATCAAGGGAAACGGAACATCTATAGAATATCAACAAATATTATCAACACTAACGTTTACCGACTATTCTAGTGAATTGAAAACATCAAGTAGAAAGATTCAGATCTCTCTTCGTGATACAGTTGCGTTTAATACACCGACTAGCATCACTGTTGATGTTGTTAATAATGATAATCATCGGCCCTATGTACGTTGTAATCGCCGTACATTTTCTTTACTGCCAACTGCATCACGAGCCCTTGCAGTTGGTCAACTTGGGCCTATGGCTATTATTAATCCATCTCAACAGTTAATATCAGAAATTACCATTACTTTAACCAATATAGCAGGCCTTGATCAAGAGGATATTTCTATTATAACGCCTGGCAATGTGAATGTAACCCATTCAAGGAGAATAGTTTATAACATCACAGGCCAAACTACAACGTATGATCAAATTATTAAAACTTTAACCTATACGAATGATCAAGCGAATTTGCAGGCTGGTTGTCGTATAATTACTGCAACTTTAGCGGATCAACTTGGGAACACTGGTATTCCTCTTGATATTTTTATATCGATAATTCCTTATCCAACTAGTTTATTAGCGATTGCGTTCAATCATAGTACTGATTTAAACTATTTTCCGTTTAAATTCAATCGCATGTATTTCGTATTGCAGACCGGACTACGTATAGTTAATACGGTAGCCAATGCATCGATTGAATCGATCCCTATTGCAGGAATTACGATCAAATTAAGTGGGTCATCGCTTACTAATCATGATTACATTCGTCTTGATCAAGGCTTAATTAGGCGATTTGGTTTAACATTATCCGAATCAAGTAAGTGTAATAAAATTCTGTAAAATTGCTCTAGTTCTTGGATTCAATTAAAGTAAAATATCTTAGATATGCTATTGCTAAGTTAAGTGATTCTATTGAGTACACAATTGCGGTGTACCATAGATTCGATAAGATCAGTTATAGGAATGAGATCTATAAATTTGATATAAGCTATCATTAACAACTAAAATAGCTGCCTTACGATTTTATTATTCGCATTTTAATTTTTGAATATCGCACCGGAATCAGTTCTATAAATTTTATATAGGTTATCATTCAGAATTAAATTTCCGTCCTATGATTTTATTATTCGCATTCCAATTCTTGACTAGTGTACCGAAATCAGATCAGTATTATTAATGTTCACTTTCGATTTACAGGTGATACCTATCACATAAATATTACTGGTATTGCAATAGCTAGGGACTATCAACTTGTCTTGCAATCACTTTATTATGTCAATAATGCTACTATCAATGTCCCACCGGAATATCGTTATATCAATATGGCATTGCAGAATATTAACGGTAGCATCCAGGAAGCACAAGTGATCAATATCTTTGTCCATCCGATTCATTTCTATTTAACTTGCCCTGAATCAATAACCTTCATTATTCAAGTCACACCGCTACCATTTTATCCACTTCGACTCGTTCGCTTTCGTTCCGAATTAGGCGACCATGATATCTTAACGAATGCAACAGTCGAATTACAGGCTTATCCTAATACTGGCGGTAGATTAATTTATAACGGAAATGATTCCACTGGATTGGAGATTATGCAAGAGGGTTCATTTACCTACTACCGAGTAAGTTATAATTAGTTTCTCTATCCTAATTTAAGTAAAAGTAAAATAGAGTAGTGTATTATATAGATCTTGAAGTTTTCAATTCGTTGGCGAGTAATGGATAATTT